GAAGTGATGAGGTGAAGTGATGGGTGAAGTGATGAGGTGAAGTGATGGGGTGAAGTGATGAGGTGAAGTGATGAGGGGAAGTGATGGGGTGAAGTGATGGGGTGAAGTGATGGGTGAAGTAATGGGGTGAAGTGATGAGGTGAAGTGATGAGGTGATGCAGTTTGGTAGGAAGAACATAGATGGATGTTATAAAATAAAAAGATCCAGGAGCAAAGGGATTGGGTATATATGTGCACAGATGATGGGGGAGGTGATGGCCTAGTGGTATTATCGCTGGACTGTTAATCCAGAGACCCAGAAAAGTTCTGGGGATCTGGGTTCGAATCCTGCCATGGCAAATGGTGGAATTTGAATTCAATAAAAATATCTGGAATTAAGAGTCTAATGATGACCATGAATCCATTGTTGATTGTCGGGAAAAACCCATTTGGTTCACTAACACTCTTTAGGGAAGGAAACTGCCATCCTTACGTGGTCTGGCCTACATGTGACTCCAGACCCACAGCAATGTGGTTGATTCTTAACTGCTGTCTGGGCAATTAGGGATGGGCAATAAATGCTGCCTAGCCAGCGATGCCCCTCATCCCATAAATGAATAAAGAAGGTCATTGAATGTGGCAAGACAATTGAAAGAAGCAGTTGATAAAGCTTATAGTGTCCTCAGCTTTATTAATAATGTCATAGAGTAAAAGAACAAGGCAGTGATGCTGAACTTGAATAAGTCGTTTGTGTAATCTCAATTAGAGTACTGTGTATAGTCGGGCACCACACTATAAGGAGGGATGTGAGCACATTGGAGAGAGTGCCGAAGAGATTTGCAAGAATGGCTCCAGGAATAAAAAAAAACATATTATCAGGATAGATTGGAAAGGTTGATCTGATCTCCCTGGAGAGAAGGTGGCAAAGGGAAGATCTGATGGAAGTTTTCAATGTCATGAGGGAGCAAATAGAGTGGGTATGGAGAATCTGTTCCCTCTTGTATTGAGGATCAAGAAGGTGAAGGCACAGACTTAAAGAGATTTGTAAAAGAAGCAAATGTGATGTGACAATATGAACGTTTTCACACAACAGCGTGGCTGGGGTCGGAATGCACTGTCTGGATGTGTAATGGAGGCAGGTTCAGTTCAAGAGGTTCCGAGATGATTATTTAAATAACTACAATGTGCAAGGGTATGGGAAAAGACACTAAGTCACAGATGCTCAATTCAACAGCCGCTGCACACAACGACGGATAAATATTCAGCGCTATTTAAATTTAATCCGCGCAAGTTTTGGACCTGATGCGGCCTGCGACAATTAACGGGTTCACTTTTTCAGTTGAGTGCGGGAAGATGTTCAGGTGTCCCACTACAATGTAGTCTCTGTTTCAGCACCACGGACAGCTCAGATTGCCTACCGCGCTAGATACACAGTCCGGAAGCTGGCACATTAGTTCATCAATCTCAGTGAGAGTGGGACCTGTCCCCTGATACTCGCCCTCGAGTTGGGTCCAGCCCATCTTGTCCTGATTTCTGCCCGGCACCTCTCGAAAACCCCGTCCCAACTGAAGCCATTTCCAAAGCGACTCATCCTTTCGAGAAATCGATACCTACTGTTGGATTTTACAGCTCGTGCAACACAAACACCCAGAGAACACACAGATATACACAAACACACACACAGATACACACATACAACGATACACACATACAGATACACACACAGACACACACATACAACGATGCACACACAGATACGCACACACACACATACAGATACACACACAAAGGTACACACATAGAGATACACACAGTCACACATACAGACACACAGATACACACACACAGATACACACACAGATACACACACACAACAAGCACAGTCACACACACAGAGTGACACATACAGACACACACACCAAGACAGAAACACACACATACAGACACGCACACATACACATAGACAAACACATACAAATACACACATACACATACACACACATACACATACACACAGACACACACATACACACATACACATACACACACATACGAATACACACACACATATACACACATATTACGGGAGCTTTCAGCACTCCATGTAATACCCGATCTGTTTAAATTATTGATCAGGTCAGTATCTGAGCCCTGAACATTCTGACTGGTGGAGCTAAATGATGCAGTGTGGGTGTTTTTCTTTCTGCCGCAGCTCTCTGTACCAGGTGCCTTGTTTGTTAGTTTGGAACATGAAAACCAGCAGCGGAACCATTGGATCCGGGGTTACTGTAACAACAGCTTAAATTCCACACACACACGCACTGACCCACCCCTTTCCCAGGCATGACCCAGATAAGAATATTTCCAAACGCACCGCAGGATTGTGTGAATGGAGCTTCTCACAGTTTCTTAACCATACTTGCTACTATTCTGTGCCCTGTACATTGATGCACGTTAGAGCTGTCTTATACAAAACCAAAATGACCAGCACTATAAACTCAAACGCACAGTTAGCTCTCCACACTGGAAGCTTGGCATTGAGGACTCACTAGCTAATAGCTGGTAAATGAATGGGCAATGAATGTCAGCCCAAAGAAGCTGGAGGGGGTGGGGGGGGGGGGCGTGTGGGGAAGGGGTGGTGTTGATTTAACATCAGTAAGGATCAGGGAAAATCCCAGCCCTCACCACCGTAATGAAGTCGTTGGGGTTATTTCCTAAACTGGGTGAAGGGGGGAGATGGTAGACAGGGCATTTCAATGAAAGCACTCAGCAACCTCAAACCTTGCAGAGGAAGGTCATGTGAAACTTTCTCCTGTCAATGACAAGCTCCGTGCGGGACAAAAAAAACCCAGCCAGGAACTGACGGCAGAAATTACAGCACTCTGGCAACATTTTTTGTTTGCTTCTCTACCAGAGTGCATTTCAGGGGAACCTCTGTCATCCTTTTTTTTTTGCCTGCGATTAACAGAGAGAGGAAAGACCATAAGCTAACGATTTATCCCAATTTTATATGATAATCACTGGGCGAGGCGGAATGCGGGATATCTCTAAATATAAAACAGATGGAGAATGTGCAAAAGTACAGTTTGGCACGGCTCTATTTGATCACATTCACCATGCCTTTTTTTTTTGCATGTACGTCGTATTGACAGAAACACACAATTCCTTCAATGGGCACAATTCCTACCTTCCTGACAGCGATGAAGCCTGAGTCTGCAGCAACCCGTTGGGCGACCCCATCGCCGCCGTCTAACTGCACCAAGAAGTGGTTGGTGTACAGCTTCTGAGGAGCCGCAGTTGTTGCAAAGAGAACTGCATTGATCATCAGAAGGAGCAAGTCCGTTATAAATCCTCGCTTCATCCCTCTATATCTCTTGCGCTGGAGAAGCAGTTACTGTTAGCCGAGAGAGACAGGAGAGAGAGAGAGAGGTAAAGGAATGGAATAAACACGAACGAAGACAAGACTGCTACTACATGCACTTCACTGGAGCGCTTTCAGCCGAGTAGCAGGCGGAGGATGGAGCTATGCAGTTCAAAGGGGGACCGCCTCGCGGTCCTCTCCCTCTCTCTCTGTGTGGGTTAAGAACGATGCTACATGTTCCGCCGCCGATCCTATAATTCATGGAGAAAATCCCAGCTCCCTCACTGGATCATGTGGCAGGCACGTCAAAGCCATGAAACATTCAGAATCACGTTCCAGCAGGGAGGGGGTGAACCTCACAGGAGCAATGTCAGGAATACGGTTTCTTAAAAATACAAACACACGACTTGCACCACAGTGAGACAGAAGTGGAAACGGGCTCCTCAGGGCAGATAGTGATAATTTCACTTTCCTGGTAATCTCATGGGTTTCGACTCACACATTCCGGCGGAATTCAATTCTGCAGCAGAGGAAAATATCCCCCAAATGGGCGGCATAAAGATACTAACCAATTACAGGTCAATCCAAACTTCTTTGTTTAGAAATAGGTGAGAGTGTGCAACTTAACTGGCACAAGGAGTGAAGTGCAAAGTGAGGAGGTAATTTTGATTTGATTTGATTTATTGTTGTCACGTGTGCCCAAGTACAGTGAAAAGTTTTGTTTTGTGAGCAGTACAGGTAGATAATAACAAAGTCATACAGATCACAGGGTGCTTAGACAGAGTGAGGCATACAAGGTTACACTGCACAGGAACTGCACAAAAGCAAGATCAGCATTAGATTTGAAATTACAGAGGTCCATTCATCAGTCTGATAACAGTGGGGATGAAGCTGTTCTTGAACCTGCTGGTGCGTGTGTTCAAGCTTCTGTGTCTTCTGCCTGATGGAAGAGATTGGAAGAGAGTATAACCAGAGTGGAAGGGGTCTTTGATGATGTTGGCTGTGTTTCCACAGCAACAAGAAGTATAGATGGAGTGCATGGATGGAAAGTTGACTTCCGTGATGGTCTGGGCTATGCACACACTTTCTGTAGTTTTTTACAGTTCTGGGCAGGGCAGTTGCCGTATCGAGCCATGAGGCACCCAGATAGAATGCTTTCTATAGTGCTTCTGTAAAAGTTGGTAACAGTCCTTATGGACATGCCAGACAGGAATTTAGCGTCAGCTGGAATATTGTGCCTACACCAGGGCATCTTCAGTTACCACAATAGGCTGGAGAAATTGGGATGGTTTTCCTTTGAAAAGAAGGGCAAGAAGAGATTTGACATCCTTAAAGTTACAGAATCTGACACTTGATCCTTGAACCTGCTCCGCCATTCGATTGGATCAGAGCTGACTTGATTATTTCATGTTCACTTCTACCCAATATCAGTAGGAAGGATATATTGGCCTTGGAGGGAGTACAACATATGTTTACAAGAATGATACTGAGACTTCAGGGGTTATGAGGAGAGATTAGACAAACATTGCCTGTTCTGTCTAGAATTTAGAAGGTTAAGGGGTGATCTGATTGAAGTCTTCAAAATATTAACAGGAAAAGACAGGGTAGATAAAGATAAACTATTTCCACTGGTTGGGGATTCTAGACTGGTGGGGGGGGGGGGGGGGGGGGGGGGTGGTGCGGGTACACAATCTGAGCATTATGGCCAGATCATTCAGCAGAGATGTTAGGAAGCACCTCAACATTCAAAGGGTGGTACAGATTTGGAACTGTCTTCCACAAAAGGCAGTGGGTGCTGGATTGGTCATTAATTTTATATCTGAGATAGATAAATTCTTGTGAAGCAAAGGTATTATGGCATATGGAGTTAGTTCACAGATCAGCCATGTTATCATTGAGTAGTGGAACAGGCTCAAGGGGCTGAATGGCCTACTCTTGTTCCTATTTCATTCCCATATTTATGAAGAATCTATCTAACTTTGCCTTAAAAATATTCTTCCTGCTTCCATCGGCTTTTCAGAAGAGTCTTCCAAACACTCCCAAGCCTTCATCAGAGAGAAAAAAAATAGTCATGTCTGTTTCAAGTAGGTGTCTCGTGTTTTTAAACAATGACCTCCTGGTTCTAGATTCACCCACAAGAGGAACCATCCTTTCCATATCCACCTTGTCAAGATACTTCAGAATCTTAAATGTTTCAATCAAGTGATCTATTACTCTTCAAAACTCCAGTAGCTACAAGCCTAGCCAGTCCAATCTTCACTTCTTAGACAACCCATCATTCTAGATATTGGTCTAGTAAACCACAAATAAAGAAACTAATACTGTACATAGCATACCTGATGTCAAGTCACCAATGCCCTATATAACCTCCCCATTTTTATATTCAACCTCTCACCAACAATAAACAATATCATTCAATCAGCTTTTCTAATTATTTGCTGTACCTTCATACTAACCTTCTGAGATTCATTTAAAAGACCTTTGGACAGGTACATGAATAGGAAAGGTTTAGAAGGATATGGGCCAAATGCAGGCAAATGGGACTCATTAAATTTGGGAAACCTGGTTGACATGGACAAGTTGGATCAAAGGGTCTGTTTCCATGCTGTATGACTCTGACTCTATGACACTCAGATCTTTCTGCATCTCAGCGCTTAACAATCTCACCATTTAGATAATATGCTTCTGTTTTTTTTTGTTTCCTGCTGAAAAAAAGACAAATTCATATTTCCCCACATTATGCTCCATTTTCCAGATCGATTCCCACTCACTTAACCTCTTCATCTTCCTTTGTAGCTTGCTTATGTCCACTCTGCAACTTAATTTCCTGTCTATCTTTGTGTAATCAGTCCATTTAGCAACCAAACATTTGATATCTTTATCCAAGTCATTTATATAAATGTAAAAAGAGTACTCAGCACTGATCCCTGTGGCAAGCCACTTGTTACATCTTGCCAACCAGAAAATGACCCTGTTGTGCCAAATCTCTCTTTCCTGTCTACTAGCTAATCTTCCATCCATGCCAGTTTATTACCCACTCCAGAATGAGCTCTTATTTTGCACAATATCCTTTGATGCCTTTAGAAATCTAAGTGCAGTATATCATACAATCCCTACAGCCCTTCAGCCTAATAAGTCCACACTAAACCTCAAAGCATCCCACACAGACCCACTCCGCTATAACCCACCTAATCTACACATCCCTGAATACTACGGGCAATTTAGCATGGCCAATCCACCCAGCCTGCACATCTTTGGACTGTGGGAGGAAACCGGAGCACCCAGAGGAAACACACACAGACACAAGGAGAATGTGCAAACTCCACACAGACAGTTGCCCGGGGGTGGAATTGAACGCAGGTCCCCGGCGCTGTGAGGCAGCAGTGCTAACCACTGAGCCACCGTGCCGCTGATTTCCTTTATCCACAGCATGTGCCACTTTCTGAAAGAACTCCAATAAGTTGTGTAAGAGATCAAGTAGTTTCTTTTTTGAGGCTATAAACTGGAATTGAAGTTGTATTGCTATAAAGCTGAAATACCAAGAGAGTTTTGCAACTTGGAGACATCAAGTTCTGCTCATTTTTTAACCGTGACAGACAATGCTGCTTTTTGGCACAGTGAGAGCTCATTCAAGACTAAGCGGAACTGAGAGTCTTAGAATTATGGAAATTCTGCCTGACAACAGCCATCGTTGTACTTAGGGAGGATATTCCTGGGAATAAGTCCAGGGAAGTTATTTGGCTGGAACTTAGAAATAAAAAAGGGATGATCACCTTATTGGGATTGTACTATAGACCTCCCGATAGTCAGCGGGAAATTGAAACACAGCTATCTGTAAGAATAATAGGGTGGATATAGTAGGGGATTTTAACTTTCCAAATGTAGTCTGGGACTGCCATAATGTTAAGGGCGTGGTTGGAGAGGAATTTGTTAAGAGCCTACAAGAAAACTTTCTTCTGCTGTATGTGGAAGTATCTAGCAGAGAAGGTGCAAAACTTGACCTCCTCTTGGGAAATAAGCCAGGACAGGTGATTTAGGTGTCAGTGAGGGAGCACTTTGGGGCCAGTGACCATAATTCTATTAGATTTAAAACAGTGATGGAAAAAGATAGACTGGATCTAAAAGTTAAAGTTCTAAGTTGGAGGGAAGGCCAATTTCGATGGTATTAGACAAGAACGTTCAGAAGTTGATAGGTAGGGGGGAGGGGGTCGAAGGTTCACAGATAAAGGGATGGCTGGTAAATGGGAAGCCTTCAAAAATGAGATAACGAGAGTCCAGAAGTAGTATGTTCCTGTCAGGGTGAAGGGCAAGGTTGGTAGGTGCAGGAAATGCTGGATGACTAGAGAAATTGAGGTTTTGGTTAATTGAGAAGGAAGCACATGTCAGGTATAGACAGGAGGAATCGAGTGGATCCCTAGAAAAGTATAAAGGCAGTAAGAATTTAATTAAGAGGGAAATCAGGAGGGTGGAAAGGGGACATGAGACAGCTTTGGTAAATAAGGTTAAGGAGAATCCAAAGGGATTCTACAAATACATTGAGTACCAAAGGGTAACTAGGGAGAGAATAGAGCCCCTTAAAGATCAGCAAGGCTGCCTATGTGTGGAACCACAGGACATGGGGAAGATACTAAATGTGTATTTTGCATCAGTGTTTACTGTGGAGAAAGATATGGAAGATAGAGAATGTGGAGAAATAAATAGCAACATCTTGAAAAATGTCCATATTACAGAGTGGGTGGTGCTGGATGTCTTAACACACATAAAAAGGTGGATAAACCCCTCGGACCTGATCAGGTGTACCCTAGAACTCTGTGGGAAGCTAGGGAAGTGATTGCTGAGCCCCTTGCTGAGATATTTGTATCATCGATAGCCACAGGTGAGGTGCCGGAAGACTGGAGGTTAGCTAATGTGGTGCCACTATTTAAGAAAAGTGGTAAGGAAAAGCCAGGGAGCTATAGACCTATGTGCCTGACTTCAGTGGTGGGCAAGTTGTTGGAAGGAATCCTGAGGGATGGGATTTACATGTATTTGGAAAGGTAAGGACTGATTAGGGTTAGACATTATGGCTTTGTGCACAGTAAATCTTGTCTCATTAAGTTGATTGAGTTTTTTGAAGAAGTAATGAAGAGGATTGATGAGGACAGAGTGGTGTATGTGATCTATATGGACTTCAGTAAGGTGCTCGACAAGGTTCCTCATGACAGACTGGTTAGCAAGGTTAGATTACATTGAATACAGGGAGAACTAGCTATTTGGATACAGAACTGGCT